TACTTAGATAGAGAAACAATCTGCAATAATACTTTTGAAGACGAATGCTCTTTGTCGCTGTCAAACTAAGTACATACACTAGGTACGATTTTAGAACTTCGTCCATTTTATCTAAGATTCAAAATTTCTAGGCACAAATCGCGAATCCGTCGAGTTGTGTGCCTGCTTTCAGCTTTAATAGCATGAATATTAACAACAAGCGACGCTCAGAATACTAAACAGGCAGATTGATCGACGATCTGAGACATTTTACCTAACTTAGGACCTACGAAACATCTAGAAATGATAAAATCAATTTAGTATTGTCCTTTCAAATTAGTGTTCAATATATAAATGCAGTTTTAACCCAGTAATTATTATTCCTTATCTACAGGTCTTATAGATATCGGTACTTGCTTAGTGATAAGTCTTATCATTATCAGCAAGTATATCAGCAAATTGTAGAATAATATGAGAGAGCGTTATCAAACTTGGATTGTATCAATAAATAAAATGAAACTGCTTTATCTTTTAGGAAGCATCTATTTAGTCTTATGTAACAGAGTTCTTAGATATTACATGTTATTGTTACCAAGGTTATTTACACGCACAGTTTTCACGTTTCTGAACGTTTTTTTTATGGCAAATTATGTTTTAATTAAATGCATTAAGTATAACTTTATTGCACGTAAATGTTACTAGCTAATAGTATTATCAAGTGCTTTAATTTAATATAGAATGAGATAACTACAAAGAACGTTATTGTTTTGAGACGTTTCATACGCTCTTTTTGTAAAGCCCGGGCACAATCCTTTGAGAATACATGCAGTATTTGTTTAGCGAAACTATTCCTTTATCCAGCTTAGAGCGAGACGTTTACTACGTGAATAAATTATAATATTCCATGCGAAATACAAATACTGAGGGAATTTTTGTATTTTTCTTGAACACATCGCAAACGTTACAAGCTTATCGAGTTGTTGGATTGAAACTTACGCCCCGAAATCTATTATCCAAATCATATATCTCATGTACCATTTTTACGAATTTCAATTTCATTTGAACAACTTTTGAATACTTAGACTGGATGTAAGGTAAATGAGACAACAAAAGCAGTTCGCTAATGAAAAGAAAATACGAACAGACATTGACGTAAGAATAACAGGATTATTATTTTATTCCTTTATTTAAATATTTATGATTGGATCAAGGAGACTACAGAGACAAGCTCGGAGAGCCTCGGGATACTAATCTTTTGCGCAAACCATTGTAAGCAATGGAAATCATAACCCGCGTAGGCTTTGTACGTAGGATGTATTGTAACTTGGGCATAACTTGAGGCATTTCCTTTCCCTCGAAAAACATATTATAATACTTTGAATTCACGAATATGTGGACTTCGAATAGGATTTCTGCTGGCATTTACACGAAAAGTCAATTTACAGTGTCATTATTATAAGACTTCTTTTTGGTAAAATTTTTAAGTAAATATTAAAACTCCTCATCTGAAGGTAACATTGCAAACAATGATCCTTTCTCAAGTAAGGGCCTCTCGCCGCGTCTCCCCCGAGGTGAGCTCTAAGGGACCGGGCGGGCGTACAAATTGCGAGCAAAACAAACATATTTATTTTGCCACAATACCTCTGCAGCGGCCTGTTTGCTCGCAGTTACGAACTTATCATACGGGCTCTTGTGTTTATCATACATCGTTAAACGGTTTAATGTTAATTGGCTGTTAGGTTTCGACACTTTCGCTAACAGTGTCTTCTCTACAAGACACGTTGAATTTATCACTCCACGTCCTCAATTTCCAGAGCCTCGGAAATAGCTACGGTCACAAGATTCCCGGAACCTGACCACAATTTTGATCCGTGCGGTTTTACTCAGTCGTATTCGATCCGGATGTCAGGGGAGTTTCTCGTCCGGAAATGCGAACAATTTGCGAGTTTGTCTATGAAATACAAGGATGATATTCCTTTGATGTCTGTTCACAAAGTTTGTTTAAATATAATAAACGGCGCGGTGAAAGGTATAATAAAATAACTACTAAAAGTCTACTCTGGCTGAAGTTTAAGCTCATCACGACATTGTTGCGATGCGATAGAAAGTCACGCAAACCAAACAGCTTTTATGGTGAAACATTTTTCCGCATACATACTAAAAAGTAGCCTGAAACCTCTTTATTGTACAAAAAAAATGTAATGTAACTCACATCTATTCTACTTGATAGTGCAGTTACAGCTGATAGATGTTCTTGTTTATGAACTATCTGTGTCTGCATTGATATATCACGTCTGAGTAGGGATGAACTAAGGAACAATAAAGTTCGATATACAATAGACCTATCTATTCTACGACATCATCACAAGGAGCATAACCCTGTAGTAAATATCCAATCGTAAATAAAATCGTAGCGTAAGCTTTCCTATAAAATATTCTTACACTTCGCCTTCATTTGCGTAACGGTATGTTACGCGTTTTTAATATACTCATAAAATATGCAAAATTAAATCATGAATGTTTCGTATAAATAAGATTTCGTCACGGCTGAAAAATATGTAAACAATTTCTGTCAACATTTATACTGATATTAAATACGCTTGCCTAACCTCTATTTATTTTGGTTCGCTACATATATTATTTTATTTATTTTGTGGAATACGTACTAATAAAGAAAATGTTTATATGAATTACCTTTTGGCTATCTAACCGTGTAGTTAATAATTATTGTGCAACCAAAAAGGTTACAATTCCCTTGACATTTAGTATGTGTGGTTACCTCGGGCGCTGTTGACGAGCCGAGCAGAGGAAGTGCGGTAATTATGTGCGGTGTGGCGAGCGCATTAGTTTCATAAAACTAATTAATTAACTATCATAACCGCACATTCAAAATGTACTAATTGAAGGTGCGCGTTTAAAATTCTTTAAATAAATAATTATCATAATGGTTTACGTACGTGCGGACTTGTTTTCGATATCGGAGCTCATTTGTATTTGCATACATGTGTGTTGAACGATATTTGATCGAGAGTAAAAGACACTTTGCTTGCTTTGCTCTTCCTTGTATCATTGAACAATTAACAAAACGTACAATGGTGAAAGAAAATCTATTTCAAACAAAGCATTTAGACTATGGAACAGCTGAAGCGGTTTACACGATCTAAACCAACATGTAACATTGTGTAAACATTCGACACGTCACCCGAGAGACTACACTTGACAAATTGCTACTAACCTTCAGACTAATCAAACGGCTCGCGATAGACAATACACTCTATCACAAAGATATTGAGTTTACAATGACTTAGCGAGGCAAAATGTGCAGTCAGGACCGGTAATGACCTTGCTTGTCATCAATCTGGTGTCAGCAAGACCTTCACATAGTTACTAAAGTTATTGCTTTTAATTTACGTAGCGATAACGTTCTCGCTCATATTACGTAAGTGTCGGAATACGGACAAATCTGTATTTTAACTAATGTCTATTTTATCCAAGGAGGATTTCACACAATGACGAAAGCTATGGAAACCCAGCAACATAAGGTTAAAACCTCGGGATAGAAATAGAAAATTGTATTTATTTTTGCAATATCTAAAGTGATACTTAGTGTCAGTAAGTACATGTTTATCATATCAGTACCTATGGGCAAGTGTTATCGTGAGTTCGTCATGTCGCGAAGTTGCATATCCGCATTTATGAAAAGCGGAATATTTTCAGAAGTATCGAGGTACAAAACTTGCCGTTAATTTTTGAACCTAACTTTTTGTGCCTTATGAAGTACTGGAACAACGAAGCAAATTATCGCATCCCTCGAAGTCTGTGCATCCGAAATTGTATACTCTTAAAGAATACTGAACATCAAAAGCAATGATATTTCAAACCCATACAACCCAGAACAGGATCTATTTAGGTACTTTTGTTAATGAAAGACGACAGTGTACCATCCACAGATTACAGATGCTCAAGGTAGGCAGTGGATCACATTTATAGCAGTGATCAAGTCAGAGATAAACAGTTTACCTTGCAATCCAGATAGCAACATGTAATCATAAACTTAAGCTAATTATATTCTTAATGGTGGTGATAAAGTGCCAATCTATATTACTTGTGTATCAATTTTTAATGGTTTTGATAATGCAAATAAATAATGTTAATTATTCCAATTTGTTAGTTTTCATTTAAGCCAATAAAAATTAAAGCAAAAAATAAACACTTTTTGTCAAAGAAGAAGAAGAATGAGAAGAATACACCAAAATAATAAATGGTAGAAGTTCTGTACATTGAAGTGGATGTTCACACCAACAATGCAACGACTAAGCCATGGGTGGGTCTGTGAGGCTAAGTACGACATGGCTCACGACAACGAGGCAATGTATACTGTGCACGATGGACGATTTAACGATAAACACTAACACCTACGCTGCCCGCTCACACTCTGCTGATGTGATACGCTTCTAACACACTTTGTTATATTACAGCTTATGGACAATTTCAAATTTAGAGATAATAGGTATATCGAAGAGAATATGTATGTGTACAAATAATTTACTAATAAGAATCTGACATTGAAATCTTTAAGATCAATGATTTTGCACAATATTACAAGCATGATTTTATTAATATTTTGCAACTATTTTTATGCAAAAACTTCACTACATTATTAGTTGATTAGGCAATGACCTACATTGCTTAATATTTGAATCTACAACTGTTAATAAGGCCTCTAGGGTCTACTTAGTTTCGAGGTCCTATCAAATTGGTGTATTGGTGTACCAATTACAAAATCTAGTGAGAGTAGCTACAGATAGGTCAATTGGTTGGTTTTATTGGTGTCTAGTAAGATTCTTGTATGAATGGTTAGGAGATATTATAGGAGTGATGCAATGTGATTGAGTGGTACTGCATGAAGGCGGGTGGACATCAGCAGAGGTGATGAGCGCGAGAGAGTGCGCGCGTGAGGCATGCGCGCCGCAACAACCACAAAGCCGATGAGGGAACATATGCGTTGACTGTCGACTCACCGAAATGAGACGTAATATTGCCATGGCCGTTGGCCAGAGGCAACGCGGTCACCAAGTCTTGCACTAAAAAACAACGACTATCTTTTAACATTGCATAAATTCATACTATTCAAAAGGCAGCCGGCCCAGCCGTCCCCGTGTCTTATCAAACGTACGGCGAAATTACTCTGATAATTATTGTGCCTATAATTCTTGAAACTTATCAACGGAATTACACTCGTTATATTACAGCAATAAAGCGGCATTAACTACACAGAACAACTTTTATCTAACAAATATTCTTTTTAAGTTAAACATTTCGATACATTATGACCTCACAATCACAGAAAAATAGGTCAAAATGATAACAGCAGTGTGTTCTGATAAGAATCTAATCGACCACAAGTTCGCTGTGTCAATGTTATGCCCGCCTTGCCAAGTACGCAATGAAGTAAAGACAACTAGGTACATATCTATGTATAGTGTGCAGGTAAATAGTACGACACTCACCCGAGCTAAAGTGTGATCGCTTTACGTCTCCATTTTCCGAGTCACCGTCGAGCGGTCGTTTCCTCGAGTCCGTGATTTCCGGACTGGGGCAAGTATCCATCCCTGTATCAGCGGCCATGTTGAATTTCAGGGCAAAACTTTAAACTTGTCTAGCATAATTCCCATTACGTAATTGCTTGAAAATATGTACGATTATGCGGCACTATGAATTATTTTAACATAATAACGGTAACACTTAACACTTATACAACTAAAAACGAAGGGAAATTGAAGTTTTGAATGGTGTAGTTAATGAAATAAGAAGAGAAGTGACACTATGGTTGTTACGTCTAAACGTTTTGTGAACGTTTGTCGATACTGCGGCTGTTTGTGGCGCACAGTCAACATGAAGCTAGCTGCGAATGTCACACCGTTATGTTGGCTCCTCTGAATAATGACAGTAAGCAGCTGATTGTATTAGTGCTGTATGTTGACTGATATATCGATTATAATTTTGTCGACATAATCAAGTAAATACCTGAATGATAAATGATTAATAAGCGAAATATTGTTTGTATACCTAAAATGTTTATATGTATCTAATTGGCAATCTATAAAAATTCCAGGACTTTGGATATTCATATTTCAGGGCAACAATAACACATTATCATTATTGTATATTGCTAAGAGTAATTTGTTCATCACCACAAACTTAAATTAGTCACCTGCTTCTTGTACGCAACATAAAAATAGGTAGCTTACTTTTGCACGTACATTTCACCTTCCTATTTTAATACGTCTCCAGAGTAATCCAATAAATGTATTCTTCGATTTGAAACAAAAAAAGATAATAGGAAAATTGACACAGTATGAGACAATTATGTAACATTTATCGATACGGATCAAAATTATTGCATCAAAACATGTACATCACTATAAAAACATAATGCGCCAAGGTCGTTTAGACACCAATCAGCAATTGTTGACAACTTCATGCATGTTACATTACATAGAAGAGCGGGAAATTTTAAAAAATAATTCCGTTGTGCGCTTGTCGTACTTCATAATATATTAGAAAAATAGTCGGCTTGGAAAAAAATGTTTGAAATACTGTAGATACTGCTTTCCTTAATTGAATCGCGGTAAATTACTATTAATCCATTATATAATTACTTAAAATTTTGTTATTTAAAGTTTTTTTTGTCATTTGAAGATGACAACAAACAAAAAGATTTGTCTAGTCCAAAACTCAAGAACTTTAACTAGGTATATATTTTTGTAAATTTAAATTAGTATAAATTTAAAAATAGCGCCTTACGGAGACCTAGCAAAATAGTTAAAAACTAGGTCAAGGAACAAGGTAACTATTTCTATCTCATTTCAGCAACTGGATCAGGATTTTAGGTCATGTAGAAATGAGAAACTGTTGGAATCTAATATGAATCCATAACGTACATCCTAGCCATCCTTTAGATAAATTCTTGATTTTCACCGGTAAAATTTAAATTGTTTTTATCGAATCGAACCTCCGTCGTGTTTTATAATAATATAATTAATCCACGTGTCAAGTTGTACTATATTATTTAGTATCCACTATGATGATATTTTCTACAAAAGTGGAATAGTGGTGAATATTTTTTGCCGCATAGCTCGTACCTACGTAGCGCATTGCGGGCAAACCTAAGCGCCATCTTTTATCTAAAATGATAAACCTTAATAATTCGTACTCGGAAGTTTTATTTTTGTTATATAAGTACCTAAATTATTTGTAACATAGTTGATAAGTATAACGGTACAATATATGTTCATCAAATTACTAAGCTGTATAATTAATTATAATGCTACATTGGTTCTAAAATTAAAGGAAGCTTTCGAAGGTAGTGTCGTGCTCATTCCTTAAAAAAAGTGCTCAACGTAACGACTTTTAACTCCGGAAGAGGTAAGTAGACTAGACTTGCATACTATGCAGTTGCACAATACTAGTACCCATGTTTCGACGATTTCCATATTATAGACTGATTATGAATTTTAGTTACGTAATGCCAGGTTCATTGTTATATTATGACTATGGTCATGAAGTATCGATTAGTGTCAATCTTAGAAATTATAGGTATCTAAATAAACCTACCTACTTTTAAACTAATAACGCATTACACCGTTACGCATAATATTGTAAGTTGCTCTTATTAAATTGTAGGTAAGATATAACCTAGATACCTACGGAAAGACACTTGGGAAATATTTTGATATTGTTAGATAACATTTGATATCTGGCTATTTTATTAACGAGTCAAAATACCTACTTAAATACATTGTTTGACTCATATTACATACATTACAAAGGTAAACCTACCTATTCATAAAAAAAATGACATTAGTAAGTAATTTAAAGAGTTGTTATTATAACAGATATACTTAAAACAATAATTGTGTAATAAGTCGAAATGGTGTTATTTGGTTGGTACTTTGTCGTGTGATAGTGAGCGTTCCGTAAACCATTAGACAAAGAAGGTCGCAGTGATTGCGGCCCACCGACCCCGCCCACAGCCGCAGCTGGAGTGCCGGGGTGCGTGTCAAACGTGTTTAAATCAGTCACGAACTACCGTGCCAGCGTGCCACTGCCCGAATTATCACCATTCACCCTCAAGCACAGCCCAAACAATTTATGACAAATTATTTTTTCAAATACAGAGAGTTTCACAGATTATAGTATTATCTAATAATTTTATTCTACCACCAAAAAGCATTTGTATTCGTGAAAATTAACCCTCTTTTTAGTAAGTAGCACACTTAGCAAATTATGATAGTTATGACCACGCCATGCTTTGGTTACCCCTACAGTGGCAATGTGCAACAGAGCCGAGAAAGAACGGGTGTATTTTAGTCAGTAAGACTCCTCTCACCCCACCCAGAGCGGGGTTTGGGAGAAAACAAAATTTGAAGATATAAAAAAGCATGCTTCTGCATCGTGGCCACTTTCTATGTTAAGAAACCTATTCCTTAAGTGGCTAGTGTTAATATAATTGCTTACCATTAACCTACGTGCCATTTCGATGTGTTGTTCTCGGCGGAACATTGCCTCGGTTGCTGCACTTGGTCCCAGGCACACACAGACACAGAACATCCGTAATCAACACAAAAGCACTATACCTACTATATTATACACTACACTATAATAACATTTTGATAAATATATAAACTTTTATACGAAACTTTATCACTGTTTAGTGACAACGTCGTTCAGAAGAAAACTAACCAACTAATCTACCCTCCACTGCTATTCTTGTTGAATAGAAAAAATGACGACAATGTCGGTAGTTACTTTCAAAAGAAAATTCAAACCAAAAGTTAAACCAAATTATCAAATGTTAATCCAAGACAAAGGGTCACGAAATGGAAATCGCACCAGACTGCGGCTGACTTGATGTAAAGAGCGGTTGCGACAGCCGTTGCTAAGATCCGGTAGCTGGGACTCGAGGTGGCTTGTTTTGCTTACCATTAGGTAATCAATCAGCTAATTGGCCCTTATCTATATAATTATACGTTTAAAAATTATTGCCACTTTTCGTTATAATGTTAAAACTCACTTTGGTCTTTATTTTAATAAATATTTTAATTATTCGTGGAAGTCCAGAGAAGGTTCGCACGTAGAGAAAATTTGAAAAAATATTAAAAGTGTGACATCGTCATACACGCAGGCTGAACCCAGGGCGACCGCTAGTTTAAATAATACACCAGGTTAGGTAACTTATTTTTTGTTAGCAGGGCAAAACTTCAAAAGACTCTTAGCTTTTGGGTAAAAAGACTAGAGAGTGAGGGTTTTTACCTCACTAAAACCTCCCCGGTGGCCTCCATCAACACCTGTAAGCGACATCGGGACCTCCAACTCCAGAGTCCCTTCTGTGCAACGCCTGTTATATTATGGCACATCTCTATCGAGAGTGCGTGACCTCTTTAAGCCTCACTGTGCGCGGCGGCTCGTGACCACTGTGCCACCGTCTTCCCTGAAGGCACAGGTTGGGCGACTAGGTTCTCCACTCCGTGCGCCCGTGATCCCAAACCGGTAAGGTATCTACGGAGTTTTGAGACTTGGATAGTAAATAAAATGATACACCATATTTGAATACAAAACTAGCCTTTAATATTGCATTGAATTAGTACAAAATTCTCGTTCACTGCACTATACAGCCCCGCTGTATATTCTCAGTATATCGACTTGGTATGCTGACAGACGCTAGACGTCTCATTGTACCGAATAAATTATAAGAACAATCGTAAAATAATATCGAGAGGAGATTTTACATAGTTTCTGGGATATTTTAGTATGCTCAGCACTGCCTGCGTATAAACAATAGTTTTAGTTTATTTAGTTCATCATTTTAAATGAAAAAGTTTATAAAACCTTAACCTGATATTTGTGCTATGTTTACATAAGTTTCTTATGCGATGTTAACTTTGTACTGTATTATATACTTGGTAACATTTAAATCGCAATATCATGATACCATGCTTTATTTACTAAGATAGCAAGAAACAGTGAACTGTATCCTAAAATTAATTTAAAACCAAGATTCGTTGTTTCTAATTATGTTTGTTTTCTTGTGGAATGTAAATCTATTACTCCAATTCCAAACTAATATTATAAATGCGAAAGCAAATGTCTGTCTGTCTTTTCTTCACGTCTAAACTACTGAACCTTTTTGTGTGAAATTTAGTACAGACATAGTTTGGAACTCGAGACTGCAGGATGTCACTATTCCACGCGAACATATCCGCGGACAAAATAAATATATCTTTCTTTGTATGGTACCACATAACACAAATATCTTGAACCCTTATTTTTGTCATTAGATACGCAGGCATGCATCCTAATTGTTATAAAACATCCCAAAATATTACACAACAGTAGCCTGGGAAGTTTATTAGCAACACAAAAACGCTGAACTATTTCATAGTAAATGAAATATAGGGAACATTGGATTTGTTATAAGTATAAAATTACGGTCACATTTGTAGATAGACATTTGTAGTTATTTTGTTTTGTAACATTTTCCACATCCATAGAAGAGTTTTTGCAAGATGTAACTGATAAAATGAATTGGTTCACTTTACCCACTACCGGAATTAAGTACAATATGTTCAATTTAAATAGCTAAGAGTTACAGCACTTCATATTCTTTCTCAAAATATATTATACAGACAAAAATGTTACAAAACTACACAAGGAGGCATTATAAAATCAATATAATATTTGTATTTACAACTTTCATAATTTGTCTAAGACTAGGTACTGACACAAAGTGTTACAGCTCCATCCACCTATTAAGAACGGTATATACGAGGCGCGAGTTCCATACAAAAATCCAACTTAAAAATAACAGAAACTACTGATCCTATTTCATAAAACTTGGTACTCATGCGCAGTATACTAAGTACTAAGTTATGTACATTTTCGATATACTTATAGAACTTTTTCTTTATTATAAAAACAATTTAAACTTTGTATCGAAACTTGAAATCGCCTTTCTTGTCTCTCTAAACTCTTTATCAAAAATGTATTTAGTTAGTTTTAGAACTTGATAAATTGGGTATTAGTACCAAATTTTCCTTGAACTGTTGAACTTGAAAAATTTGTATGGAAACTCATAATGAAAACAGAGGAGTAGGAGTAACTCAGTGACACTGTGTATCAGCATACAGTAGTGGGCTCCAACTGTTCCGCGAAGTTTATTTATTTCAATTTGAAACTTGTACATTTGTTTTACAGACTATTTATACTTAGTAAGAAACATGATTGTTGTTGGATATGAATAAGGAATGCTGCTAGATGTCATTGCCGTCAACATTACAGAATGTATTTGTTTACGCGCACGAGTGCTGGGTCAACACTTCACAAGTCACTGTTAGCTTTGTACCAATTGATGACATAATCTGTAAACCGATATTACCGATAAAAAGCCCACATTTTCCGAGTAAAAAAATGCATGTACAACAATGTAGAAGAACAGTAAGAGCCCGCTCCGTGGCCAGGGGGCGCCGCTATCGCGCGGGGGTCAGGGGCGCTGCCATTCCGGCGGCTACAGGCGCTACGGGCGCTGAGGGCGCCAGGTGATACGTGAGCCACCACGACAGCAGCGGCTGCATCAGCGCCACGAATAGTAAGAAGTAGACGCGACGCTTGCTGCCGCCGCCCGCCGGCTTGTTCCAGGTGTCGGCGTACGGGTTGGCGCTGTACCCGCCCGCGCCGTACCCGTACGCCGGCGCCGGCGCCGCCTCGCTCGCGTGCGACCCCGACAGCACTTGTAGCCGGAGAGTCTTCACCTGCAATACACGATTATAATATAGAAAACTTAACAGTCAATGACATTGCGAAAGACTCAACTGAGGACAAATCGGCTCATGGCTGATAAAGGTGACCATCAAAAGGCTAAAAGAAATCTAACAGGAATAGTCCAAAATCAACAAAATGTTAGTTTGCATAATGAACTTACCAAGAAATAAGACAATGCAAAACTGGTGTATAAAAGGGTGCAGTAGTAGCCAGTCCTGCCCAGCATGAGGCCGGCCAGTAGACTGCCGATCATGATGATGTACTTGTACCCGGAGAAGGCCAGCAGGTCCAGCGTCTTGAGGTGTGTGCTGGTGTTAGTGACGTATAGAGTGACCAGGTACATGATCATCTCGAAGATAATGTATGCTAGCGCTGATGATGCCTGCATGCCTATTTGTTCTGGAGAGAACCTGTGCTGCAGACCTGGAAGAAAACCACATTAATTTAACAATGGCACTGAGTTTATCTGTGTTGTTGTTATTTACAAAATACGATTCATTATCGAATATCAAACCACCAGCGAAACTTTTTTTTAGTAGTGTGAACTTTGACTTTGTATAATCACGCTCGACATAGATTACTGGCCGCTGTCACATAGCGTGAGATGCTTCCTGTGGCGTAATACTTACTTTGTTTCCAATTGCAATGTAATGTGCTATACTGGCTCATTCTATCGGTAATAAAAAGTATTTTTTGGAAATTTGAAGGGAACCGAGATAGTAAACTAAGAGTTACAAGTCCGTGGCCGGACTTTCGAAGGGTTTAAGGAGTTTTGAGATTACAGGCAGATATACTTAGTGCAGGACGATAGGGCATCCAGCAACCTACATCACACGGTGAAACACAACACAACATGTACGACAAATTAAATAATGACAGGCAGTGTAGTAATGTAATTAGTATCCCAGCTGTTGTAAGTTATATTGGATCACAATAACATAACTCACCTAACATAAATCCGGCGAGCAGTACGTATGTGACGTATCCCATGGAGGGTATGTACAGATCTGGAGCGTTAATGTCGTACCGAGGCTGCACCGGCGTGTCCTGGTCGTATTTCACCATCCATTCCTGATGGATTCAAATAATTACTGATTACTACAATTATCATAAAAAAAGTGAATAGTTAAATTCTGTATAACTTTCGATTTTCAGAAATAATTCTTGGTTAGTAAAGGTGGTTGTCAACTCTCTACAAGAGTTTAAATGAAAGCAAATAAAAACTCGCTTTGCCGATCTTTTAAGAAGAAATACGCTCTTTTCTCTACTATAACAATGAATAATAATAAAAATTGCAGTTCAATAGGCAGAGGTGTTACTGAGGGATGTATATTGTATATTTCTCAAATTGGCTACAAAATCCATTTTTACATTGCTATAAAATAAAAACTAACATTAGTTTAGCAATTTCTATGTAAGGACTCTCAGAATAGTCTCGGCAATCACAAGGCTTGTCTCAGATTTCATTGTGCACAAGTACAAGATAATTCTCAATGATAAGTATAATACAAAGTGGGTGTAGATACACTTATCTTTCTTACCTTATGTGTGTAGGGGAATATGATTAGCAGCAACTTCCGTAGCACGTATCGCGTGTCCACTGCGAAGTAATAGCGCAGGCGCGATACCGGGACATATTTGTTTATCTCACGCTGCACCGCCTCGCGACCCTGCGCGGCAAGCTGGTTGCCATACTGCAGAGCCATATCCTGCAGAAAATACATCATATCTGCTGACTATTTCATACTTATAAAAAATAAAATGTTTTCATTAGTTCCAGAGATTGTATATCATAAAAACAACCTTAAACTTTATAAAAAAAATCGAATTCAATAAAAAAATCTTATAAGAATTGTATTATTGTGTGTGTAAGATATTGTACCTGTACAATAGGTTGGTGCAGCATTGATCCCAACTGTGCTGGGTTTACCATAGGAGATTGGGGGTACCCTCCCATGTAGCCAAAATCTGTAAAAAAAAGTTTTTGTACTTTTGCCACAAGTAACTTATGTTTTAGGTAGGTTGTATAAGGTAGTTCAATACATACTATATTTATTTTATGTTTCATCAACCATTCATCTGGTATGTCAAATAAAGTATAGGTAATAATACTTATACATCTTTAACGGACTGTCCGTATGCTACTGCCTCACTGAAGAGGTACAATGAGCTATATGTTGCAGAGATCTTTTGGAGACAGAATTGAATATATTTCTTAGCATGTTAACCAATTTTATTCAATAATAACCTAAATCAAATTCAGATGCCCTAACTGGTACAATTATCTCTTCTTTATTCCATCAATTCTATTGTGTCTGAATTATCACAAGTGAAAGGTTAAATTGAATTGTGTCAAGTTATAGTAGTACAATAGTAATAAATCAAAAACTCACTTCCTGGAGGAGGTGCTGCATTGCTAAAGTCTTGCGAGGCATCTAATTGGATTCCTTCTTGATAAGGTGGAGGGGGGCCTGCAGGCTGGAACCCTGCATTGTAAGCTGGTGCAGGACTGAAGGCAGGGGTCGGCGACGGCGCCCCCATTGCTGCTACATCGCTCACTCGCTTAGCTTTACGAATTCCCCCACCCTGGCCCACTACAATCATAATAAGTCACAAATTATAACTAAGGACTATTTATAGTTAAACTTGATGAACATGCTTAGGTTTAGTGAGTTACGTATACGTATGATATAATTAAAAAGTTTGTAGATAGTGAGATGTAACAACAAGCACTGTTCTCTGACAGCAAGCCTTGCAACAAAATTTACAATGAAGTATATTCCATACTCAGTCATACTATAATGTTTTGTTAAGAGGGGGATTCAATATTTATCATTTTTATATAAACAATGGCATCAAGTAACTATAATTGAATGAGAACTATATGTTTAACTGTTAGATACTGCCTGGTTCAGTTACAGCATGTCGGTAACAGGTGATACTGTAGTAAATATGGATAAAATTACTTACCATTTCTGGAAGCGTTGAAATTCATTATTTTAGTCTGCAATCAGTCTAATAGGAAGGCAATGACATAGTAGGTTCTTCAATTAAACACGATTTATTTCTAATTCCACCACTGATTGAAACACATCACCAACGTCAATTTGTCCAATTTGACATTTACATTTTGTTGTCAGCTTAGTATGTAGTTTACAAACTTTCAATTTGCGTTTCACTGCGAAACAAAAATCAATAATTATTTCAGTAAATATTAATTTTCATAGACTGTTTTTGTATGAATGTATCAGCAATTTTGAAATGCCCTAGCTTATTATTATCAATACATGGCTCAAAACGAAATGTCGTTTCAGTAGAAGTCCATAACGATTTTATATTTAGATAATATCATAGAATTTCTACGTAATATTATTTGTTAAAATATAGGCAAAATAAAATATAAAACGACAAATTAATAAGATCGAGCATATACCTACTACTTCAAGTACTAGACGGTTGATAACCAAACGAATGAGACACGAAATGTCAACCAAATCGCTATATGTCAATTGTCTGTCATTATATTGTTATTCATAAACTGCGAAGGTAGCAAACGTCAACTTTGTTTTGTGTTACTGTTTTTCCTCGTCCGACCTGAAATAATAATTATTCACATCAGTTATCCGTGCTCAAAATATTGTAATCGCAACATTCACTCATATTTATACCTGCTTAAATTAATGTGATGGCTCTGACGAACGTGCTGCTGCTAAGCCAAATAGCTGGCTATTTGGTAGGGTTCATATTGTCACTATGTATTATAGTGCCGATGAGCTTACATCAAGAGGAATTCAAGTAAGCTGGACTTCCTAAATATAATTATCTAGAATATTATATATAGTTTAAATGTTAATTAAATCCAATTTTCCTCTTTATATTATGATTTATACTGCTTCACTTCATTGTGTTAAATGCCTAGAGTTTTATCAGTAGACTCGAAAACAATGTATTGAATTGATTAAGTGTACTTTGAATCTTTTTGCTGATTTACATTCTTTGAGCTGGATACTGTAAATGAAAACTTTTCTTCCAGTGGTCACTGCCTGCTGTTCTCCCACGGTGAGTGGCAGGAAAATGGTCAATTGCTGGTATCCTGGGCACCGAGAGCTTATTGTGACTATGTCATTGTGGTTGGTGTCCTCATGTTCCTTGTGTGCTGCATTCAGATCTACAGGTCAGTACTTACTCCTTTATTCTATCTATGAAATTGTCACTTTGTACACATGTTTTTGTAATAACTATAAACTCATTTAGATAATATTTGACATTCAATACATTACTTGACATTGTGCAATTAATTTGATTGTAATTTGTAAATCTATATATATATGAAGATAGACCTACTCATATTACATGCTTGAATATAATACTAGTTTAACAAATCATGGTCATACTGTAATTTAATTTAATTTACTATTATATAAAAAGTAATTTTGAAATTAGTCTAGCTATTTTCAGTATCTACACTGAACAACATTGATTTATTATAATTTATATGTATATTTTAAAATGAAAATTAGAATCTGTTACCCGATAAAGGATAATGATTATTATTTCCTGTAATGGTGTCTCACAAAGCAATACAATGTGATATTAAATCAGACTATGGTGTTTGTCCTTAGGTTGTCTATGTTCATGTACAAGGGCATAGACAGTTCATTCCTGTCAGCATTTCTAGAAGCAGTGGGCTGCATTCTACTCTGTGGTCTGGCAGTATCAGCTGCTGTGATGGTTACGCTTGGGTTTATGACATGGTGCCAGAACATTGTAGAGAGGTTCCCAAGGTATGTGGATTAGTCCAATTCTAGGATATTTTTCAAGTATTGTGGGTTGTGTTTTCAACATTATTTTTATATCAATTGTTTATCTAGTAGAAATTCTTAATGAAAAGCATTTTTACTTATTCAATACACACTAGCATAAACTTCATTTTAATTTGTTTTATTTCAGTTGTGAAGATGCAGCTGGTCAGATCATAGACATAAAAGATAACATTACAACCAGTGGATTCTATATTGAAATTGGCTCTACACAGGTATTGAGGAGATATCATTTATTTTCTTTTAGATATATTTGCTCACACTAGTTTAAGTCTTTTCAACATACATTTTCTATTTTAGTCCTATTTATTTATAGAAATAATTTTATTTTTATCCAGTTTGGAGCATGGGCCACATTTGCAACTTGGGTGGGACTGGCAGTGTTCTCAACAATCAAGGTTTGTCGGTACCATCAACTGGAGAACATCCAGGTATCAATGTACCGGGAGCGCCAGCGGCTAGTAAACGAGAGTGGCTCCCCCACTACGCAAGATGGTCGCTCCACACCACCTATTGACATAGTTCAATAGATTAGGATGTTTTAAAGTTTCAAGAACTAATATATTTAAAGGAATATTGTCTAAGGGTTATATTGAACAATCATTTGGAATAAATTCCCAGGCTATTTATTTCAGCATCTGATAATTATTGAAGTGAGATTGTTGTTGTAATGAAATGTTGAATTATTCTTCAATAGAATAATGCCCATGATCATTGAGCTTTGTATCTGTCTCACTTGCAACAGGTGCATGGTCACAAGGCTGATTACGAACTGATTGTTACTGATAGGATGAGGTAGGCTAGTGAGGCTAGAGGCAAATTGTGAGGAATATAATTTATGAAAAACTGAAAATAAAAATGAAATTCGAACTTACCATAATCAATAATGTAAAATATTATATTACATGTAATAAAGCATAATTTATGTTGTGTAAAGAATTTATGATTGAGGGAAAATATTAAAATTTCTAGTATAAATATTTTGTCCATTCTATAATCCATATGATGATATCAATACAAAAACAAGAATATATAGTAACCGCGTTTACATAAAGCAAAAGTGATGACACTAGCGATGGACAGGATATGACGATGTATGTATGTGATAGTAATTTAGTTTTCAGTTCTATTGTACAAATATATGCTTTTAAGCATTGTTTTTTGTTTGAAATATTAAATATAAGATGTTAAGAGTAATAAATTATCCTTTGCGAATTTTCTATTGTACTATTCTTTGTTGACAGGTAGATGTATTACTGTAAGACCTATTCAGCTTTTTAAATCTGTGCAGTTTCAATTTTTACCAAAATTTTCTTACAGATTAACTTGTTTAATTCTATCTGATCTGATAACATATTTTTTAGTATTGGCTTTGCGATTATACTTTGTTTGGATAACTCACTTTGATTCTGTCATTTTTTAAATAAACATCAATTCAATACTGTTATGTTAATTGTTTAGTAATTCTAATATTAAATTAATGTCAAATTAAAGTTAATAATAATCCAATAACCTTTTAACACATTGTGGTTTCATAATTTTTTTATGTCTCATTACTAAAGTATTCTCTGTGTAATAATGCTAGACTGTGATATGTTTTAAAAATGTGAAAAAACAAAAGTTTTCTTATTGGGTTGCCATAACAAGATAATTGGTACAAGCATGTTGATTCTTAGACGTAATGCAATGTTTACTTCATTTGCTCAAAATTTTTGAATAACCTTTTTATAAATAACTTTATAATTACAGTAACTTATTTTTTATTTTTATAAATTTAAAATACCTACGTAGTAAAATATTTAGTGTTATGATCGCATGTGCAAGCCTTCAAGAAACGAGCGTACCGCTTTTTTATGTCATACAAGTCATACGACGGTAAATAAGCAGGCAGATAACCTGATGGTAAGCAACCAGCGTCGCCAATGGACACTTGCAGCTACGGAGTAGTTACGGACTATTAGGGAATAAGGGTTGTGGAGATGTAGGAATTGGGGATAGATTTGGTGCTGCAGGTGTCAACGGGCGGCGCAAATAACCTACCATCAGGTGATACGTCTGCTCGTTTGTCTTTTACTCCGTAATGAAAAGAAAATGTGGACCCCTTTTTTTGTCAGTTTAAAAACTAGATTGAATTTTGTAACCGATTGTCTATAATTGAAATGGTAATACTGAAATTACATGTTTTTTTTTTAATAAAATAAGAGCAATATTAGCAACTTCAGTCAATGATTTTTATTTATAATGCTTAAAATTTTATAATTTAATTAATTTGGTTGCATATACTGTTAGTCCCGATATTCAATAATATTAATCATATATTTTTAGGAATAATTATGTATCAATGATTTATATAAAATAACTTCATGAAACAAATCAGTAGATTCTTCTCTCCTTGCGCTCATTGAACGGAAAATCGCAAGGGCCATTTCGGGCCGTTATTTTTTTGCCATTTCGAAATGAATGCCGAATAGTTTTTAATATTCTAAATGTGTTAGTAATAATATCATTGATAATAGTCATTTTTATTTGGTACTTGAAAGTAAGTGACTGCGATTATTTACCATTAAAATTTTATAAATGTCACAATCAAAAGGAGACAACGTGTCATGACCGATATTAATATAGGTAAGTATCTAAAAGAATGCAATAAAACACAAGTTGAAGACAATTTTGTTTAATTTATGTAATTCACTATTATAAAAATCTAAGCATGATTATAACAGACAGTCTGATTTCTAATAGGATACCTGATTTAAACATATAAGTGACTTCAAAATAACCAATTTTCTAAAATTATTACTAAAAATACAATCAGTCTTTACAAAGATTCTTTCACAATATTTATCGAATGTTGTCTAGCGATGTGGACTTTCAAATATCGCAGTTGAGCAAACTTCTGTCCACATTTATCACAAGAGAAGTTTCCTACGGTATGCGTACGCGCATGTCTCAATAAATCACACCGGATATTGAACCCGCGACCGCAGGTAGCGCAGACATGGTTCTTCTCCGACGAGTGCCTTTTCATATGCCTCGTCAGATGCGTTCTCCATCTAAACGACCGATGGCATTGGTTACAAGACCATACCTTTTTTCCATTATGAATTTGTTCGTGTATATAAAGACTTGCTTTAAATTTAAATTTCTTATCGCACACCTTGCATTGTAAGTCATACTGTCCTTTGTGGATGGCCAGGTGTTGTGTTAAACTGGATTTAGTTGTTAATTTTTTCCCACATACTTCACATTCATGTTCTCTGCTTCCTTTATGGAAGTATTTCATGTGGTAGAAATAACTGGACGACGCGGTGTATACCTTCGAGCAGATAGGGCACTTACGGGTCTTTTTGTGCTGGAGTTGCTTTTTACTGTTGTCGCCCTGTTCGCCTAGCCTGGCACTACTGGTAGGTGTTTTAGCACCACTATTACTGTTGCTACTATCTTCGTTAGCAGTTGTATCACGTTCTATGATGTTGCTACTTACGGTTACAGAGAGAGTGCTGTTATGTTCTATAGTCAATGCACAGCTGTTAATGCTTTTCATTTCCGTACTCGTTATAGTGTTACTGATAGTGTTGCTTTCGATTGTAAGTCGAATCGCCTTGTTGGATTCGTCACTTACGCGGCCATTGTCGGCAGTATGATTTTCGTCGTTTTCTAGCAGCTGGCTCTCTTGGGAGTCTTCTATAGCTTCAAACACGGACTCAGGCAGAGGACCAAACTCATAATCCATATCACTGTGGTCCGAAAACTCATTCTCTTGATTGCTGTTCTCGCTGTTGTTGATTCTCTCGCTTACTGTATCCAAGTCTTCGCCGCTTTTTCGCAGTTCACAAGGACTACGATCGTCATCTACTTCCTTTTTCCTAATTTTCTTCCGTTTAACAGTCTTGTCCTGGCCCGAGGTGTACTGCACGGCGTGCAGCGACATGTGCAGGATGAAGTCCTTCCTGCTGATGTACTTGTCGCATTCCTCGCAGTGAAACAGCAGAGCCGAGTGCGCCGTCACCAGGTGCTCCTTGTACTGCGTCAGGCCCTGCGCCCGGAACCGGCAGTAGTCGCAGGCGCGCGGGCTCAGCTCGTCGTACTGCGGGGGCTGCACCGACTCTACACTATATCGTGCCATGTCTGAGTACCTGCAACAAAGTGCCTGCAATGCATCTCGTGGGCCACTTCGACTGAATGCTTTATTTTTCGTGTATGTATTTGTTACCTGAGATTCTATCATATACATTTTCTATTCATTAATTCGCTAGTATTTGACAATCTTCATAATTTACGTCGATTATAGTGGAAAACGAAACGAAATATTAATATTATCTTTTGGTAATGGCGAACTTATGCGTTGTTCTCTTGCTACAAATTGTGTAGGTGCGGGCCGTGCTTCTTGTTTCCTCGTTCTTGGTCTGCTTTTCACAATATCGTCGAGAGAAATTGAGAGAGGTCAGCTAGGTGCGGTGCGCGGGCGCGGGCGGGGGCGGGGCGTGCGTGCGCGCATGCGCGGTGAGCTGCGCGCGCAGACGGAAGGCGCGGCCGCAGGCGCACAGATGGGGCCGCTCGCCCGAGTGCACCGACACGTGCGCGCGCAGCTCGGCGCGGCGCTTGAAGCGCGCGGCGCAGTGCGCGCAGGCGTGGCGCGGCGCGGCGTGCGAGCGCGCGTGCGAGCGCAGCGCGGCCGCCGACTTGCTGGCCGCGCCGCACTGGGCGCACACGAAGGCGCGCGCCGCCGCGTGCGAGCGCGCGTGCTCCTGCAGGTGGGCGCGGCGCGAGAAGGCGGCGCCGCACGCGTCGCAGGCGTGCGGCCGCAGGCGCGCGTGCAGCGCCCGCACGTGGCGCGCCAGGTTGCCGCCGTCGCCGAACGCGAGCCCGCACGCGTGGCAGCTGTGGCGCCGCTCGCCGCGGTGCGTGCGGACGTGCCGCGCCCACGAGCTCAGCGACACGCTCTTCTGGCACACTCCGCACTTCGCGTACCGTTTTCCGTCCTCGGTGCTCACTATCATTTCGGGTCTCTCTATCACCTGTTTACGTTTACTATCTTCCCGAGCCGCCCGTTTCGCCGTGACCTCTCTGGAAAGGCAAAGGACGGGATCAAGTGTGACGATACAGAATCTGCATTCGCAATGCACACATTAGACATCTAGTAGTGGCCGACGGGGTCGTGGACGACGTGCGCGAGGGGGGCGTCGGCGGCGTGCACTCGCTTGGCGTGGTGGCGCAGCGCCCGGCGCTGGCGGAAGGCGAGGCCGCAGAGCGTGCAGGAGAAGGGCTTAGCGTCGAAGTGCGCCAGCGCGTGGCTGTAGAGCTCGTGGTGTTGGCGGAAGGCCTTCCCGCAGGTGGCGCAGACATGCGGGCGCTCGCCGGTGTGCTTGAGACGATGGCGCGCGAGCCCCGAGCGCAGCCGGAACTTGGCGCCGCACTCCGCGCACTGGAACGGGAACTGTCCGCTGTGCGTCTTCAGGTGCACGTGCAACGACCCACTTTGCGTGAACCGCTTCCCACATTGAGCACACTCGAATGGTTTCTCTCCGGTGTGTATTCGCAAGTGCTGTTTCAGATTCTGTGAATTTGCAAAATTCTTAGGGCACAAGCTACAGTTGTATCTGCGAACGCGTTCATGTGTTTCCGTGAGATGTCGCTGTAGTCCGTTGGGTGCCCGGAATTGCTTCCCACAGACGTGGCACACGCACGGCCGCTCGCCCGTGTGTATCCGCTTGTGGAACAAGTAGGTATGCGCCGAGCTCAAGTTCTTACTACAAATCTTGCACGTGTAGTACGTTTTGTCATTAATTTTATTTTGGACTTCATTAAGTTCTAGTCTAGTCGCCTCGTCCAGTCTGTCTCTCCTCATGTTACACTGTGTCAAGTCGTCGAATCTGTCCACATCATTATCTTCAACCTCTGAAACACTAGAGTCCGTGGAGTCGGTACATTCGTCTTGGTGATCATTGACGAAATGGTTTCTGAAATTGACGAGGGCTTTATAGAACCGTTTATACAGCCGCGCGGGCTTTCTGGTGGCGAGCGTGGCCAGCGGCTCATCGTCCGACTGCGCGGACAGTCGGTCCGTGTTGGGCTCTTCGTAAGAGAAGCAGGGACTCCTGAAACAAATAACGGTCTGTTACTTCATGTGCGTCTCTATGTGCCGGTCCAAGTGACTCTTCCTCCGAAACTTTCTGGAGCAGATGGCGCATTGGTGTTTCTTGATGCCTAGATGTATCTCCATGTGTCGGTCGAGCGTGTTCTTGGCGCGGTAGGCCTTGCCGCAGTGCTGGCACTTGTAGGGCGTGTCCCCGCTGTGGATGCGCGCGTGCACGTCGCGCTCCACGCGCGTGCCGAACGCGTCGCGGCAGACGGGGCACGTGAAGTCCAGCTGGCCCTGGTGCACGACCTTCTTGTGCGCCGTGAGGTTCCCCCGCGAGCTGTATGTCTTGGCGCAGACGTCGCACGCGAACAGCTTGGCGCCCGAGTGGCTGCGCATGTGCACGAACATGTTGTACTTGTTCGAGAACGTCTTGTTGCACTCGGGGCACACTGCCGGGATCACTTTCTGGTTTGTAGGGTTTTCTACTTTCTTTTCTTTTCTATTTTTAATATTTTCATGCGCACTTTCGCAATGTTCTTTCAGTTTGTCGGCATGATCGGCGATGAAACCACAACTGGCACACGTGACCTGGGTCAGCGCCTCTCGTGCCGTATCGTCTCGGTCGATGTGGGTCTCCTGCAAGTGTTTGACGAAGAGTTTTTTGTCTCTGTAGAGCAGGGCGCAGCACCGCACCCCGGCCGCCATGCTGACCTGCACGTGCTTGTTGAGGTGGTGCACGAGCCGCGTGGCGCTGGAGAACACGCTGGGGCAGTACGGGCAGTACAGAGTGGCTAGGGTGTCTTTGGCTTGTGATGTCTTTTTATTCTTGTCTGTGTGTGTTGGCAACTTTTCTGCAGTGGCGTGTATCTCTGTGTCGGAATCTTCGGGCGCTAGCACTTGTTCGAAGGTGATGTTGTCAGTGATGAAGGCGGCGACAGAGTGGCGCGAGTGCCGGCGGCCGGGCGCTGGATGCGCGCGCTGTATGTGCCGCGCCAGGGCGCGCGCGGTGCGCAGGCCGGGCTGGCCGGGCTGCCCCACGCACTGCTGGCAAACAAACTCCACATCCGAATCGTCTTCGTCCACAACGTTATGAAAGTGGTCAACGAGCACGCTTTTCACTATATCGTATAACGACCTGAAATGTGAATACACGTGGCAAAGTCTGCGAGATTACCAACACAGGGGATGTAAGGTGTACTTACTTGGTCTGTGCTTCATTTTCTATGGAGTTTGATGAGGCACTTGATGGTTTTGGTTCCTGAAACAAATAATAATGACAAATATTGGACTAATGTAGCCTATTCTTTTTTGTTGTTTGTTATTGTCGTTCGCAAAGTTTCGTCGGAAAGTTCGGTAACTATGAAAATAACAATGCAAAGTTAGGGATTGCTGATAGTTTCTGTCAGTTCAGTTTTGATAGAAGAGAACATTGAACCATATACAGGTACTTGTGAATTGTGAAAATAGAATAATAGTGTGTCAGTCTGTTCGTGATTGAAGCTAGTTTCGTGTCGGTAGCAGAGAGCGGTACCTGCAGCGCGGCTGCGGCGAGCGTGGCGCGCAGCGCGGCGTCGGCCTGCAGACAGCACTGCACGAGCTCGTGCCACGCCAGCACCGTGCTGCTGCACTGGTAGCACAGCACCTGCGGCAACCTGTCCGACTCACGCACCTGCACACAACGACACATCTCTTACATCATACATACCTCTATTTTTACGAGGGATATAAAATCTGCTATTTCTCCCACATTGAGACTCGAAAAACCCATTTGTTTCTTTCCTTTTTTTATGTGGTAGGACAGCAAACAAGCAGACAGATTAATCAGTATCGACCATGGATACCCGCAACAACGCAATAACGAGTGCGTTGCCTACCTTTTGGGGATCAGGGATCAGGGAATGTTAAGAATTGGACCTCTGGTAACCTCACTCACACGGCAAAACACAACACTGTGTTTGCTTCACATATTTGGTATCACTCTAGTTGAGCTGGCCCATTCATGCCAAGCATGGCTCTCCCACACTTAAAACGGGGAAGAGGAACTGGCTTGGAGCTTCATGCTCCGAGCTCTTCTCAACTCTCTAATCTTAATTTTCTAATTTAGTTTATTTTTAAAAAGTAAGTATTCCCATGATGTATTAAAATTATTATAACCACATAGTAGTGTAACCTCATATAATCAGAAAAAGTTTCTACCAATTTATTTTTAATTTGTTTACAGGTGGAGTATCAAAACCAATTGTACAATATTATCTATGTAAATATGATGATTAATTTTTTTAGTACAAAAAAAGCACAGGTTGTTTTGACTTGCTGTTAGACACATCTGATAAAATCAATTTTTACTATCCTGTATTATTGAAGTATACACAGCAAAACAAGTTAAATACTGCACACAAATCCTGATTTATCTTTTAATCCGTAACTGTATTTTAATTTTTTATTTTATTTTACAAAGCTAACAAAAAAGTGGCTTCAAAAAGTGTAATTGTATATTGTAATAATAATCACCTGTATTGGCAAGTGTTTGTGTATTTTGTCAGCAAGGTTGTTCTGTAGGCCCTCTCCAGCAAATATAGGGATCACAAACTCCGTGATGGTGGCACATGTACGACACACATGTGAGAAGTCTTTTACATCTGCCAATTAAATTACATTATTTAGTATGTCATTTTTTTCAAACAATAATAATAGTAGGTATGTAGTAAAGAAGTATATTTAATGTTGCCTATACACATTACATTAGTGTACTCAATACTCAACATTTTTCTTTTCATGGACGTCATCTAAAACGAATTTAAATGTAATTTAAGTAATATGACACATATTTTAACTTAAACAGTTGATAAATGTAAATAAACAATTGAAATACTCTGGTAACAACTTGGTATCCACGGCAACATGACATTCATTTGTTTAAAGTATGAAACGTATATTAATGATAATGTTAAATTAAATCAATTTTAAAAGCAAAATAATAATTATTAAAATCAAGCCGTTAGAATACATAATATTATTATTTTGTACTTACTTTCAAGGTTAACTTGCGGGCTACCTGATAGTTGCAGCTCGCCTAGCTTTTGTGTAGAGGTTGATGGTTGACTCGTGCTCGGAAGAGCATTTATCATAAATATTTCTTCAGTTGCATTCATTTTAAATTCAGAATTCAACAGTACACTATAATATTATAAAACCAAATTACAAACAAGAACTAGCCTGCCAGTTTCATTCATTAATAGCTGTCAATTGTCATTGTTTGTTTGAAATGCATTTCGTTTAGAAACTATTCGAATTTCTAAGAACACACTTTTTTCTTTAACTTTAGATCGTGTGAGCATTATGTCGTATATTTACATAAGCATTAATTTTATCATTTATACCATTCATTTTATTTTTCATATCAAAATCCTGTAACTATTTAAATATATAAATTGGACACGTTTTACTTATGTATTGTATAGTGTATAACGTGTCCAATTTCTATTCAACATTTTGTTATTTGATCACTCTATTCATTTATTACATTTAATGTATACATTGTTCGTCTATTTAATGTTATTCTGTTTTACAGCGAAATAATGATAATATAGCGTAATCGTTAAAAAGCCAAAATTCTGAACGATTGTCATCAATACGAAACGCCATTTTTTTTATTGCAATGGCGGGAAACCGGTAGTTTTTCAAATCAATTTTGAAAAATGATTAAAATGTATTCAGTTATTATTTAACTAAACGTAGTGGATACAATTCATACTCTTTGTATTTAACCGATTTGATTATGTTTTTGTGTATCAAATCTAAAGTGCACTGGGAACCCGTGCAAGCGGAAAAGGGTGGTTAGTTCAAATTATAGAAGTTAAAAATTAAAATGACATCAAGATTTAATTTTGATCTCATCACATGCATTTCAGATACAATAATGTTATAATCATTAATAGATGTTATCATCCACGGTCGTTGAATACGTTGCGTCCGGAGGCTACCAGTAGCGGGGCAACCATCATCGCCTTATTCTTGTATGTGTGGATCACTTGCTACGAATAATAAAAATATTATGTTAACAGTATTATAGAAAGGACAGTGAAAGGGGTCTTCGAATACGACGACGTACAGTCGTAAAGATAAGTGTTGTAATAAGTGTTTTTCTTCTTACCAGCACCAATTTGATGAGAAAAACGGCAAAAGTTAAGAATGATATGGTCATGAGAGCGCTTTCTGATGAAGGGAAGTGGACATGGCCTCGGGGTGATGCGTATGCAGACCGTGAGCGTCGTCGTGCACCCGCACTGTCGTCGTCTGGCCATGTGGCATCTATGCGGTCCTCTGAAAGAGTTTTATAGGTAAGTTAATTTGATATATAATATTAATAGGCGATTCGCATAAGCTAACTATTAAAAGTAACTTAATCCAAGTCGGCCAGATTGATACAGTACAGATAAAAAAGAGAACCCATAGTAGAAGTATCTCGGTTGAGGTTCAGGTTCAGGTTATGTCGCATCCATAGAGGATATAACCACATAGGCGACAAAATACTAAGTAATCGTTTTCGAGCGTCGGGCCACTGTATGTGCCGTCAAGTGGTTGTATAGTCATTGGTCGCATCAGTCGTTATAACGAGAGGCGGCGACTTCCGATTCTAAGTACCTAGGTAAGCACTTTACTCACAAACTGAGATTTAGCTCACCGATATTAGTTAAGATTGTATCCTTCAGCTCGTGCAAATATTGTATCTTTCCACTGAAACTTCTTCGCGAGTTTTTGGATATAGTATCAGCGACGACTCTCATGAATTTTATCAAGTTTTCCATAGCATTCACTTTATTTTCATTCAGTGTAGTGTTGGTTGTTGTTCCAGCTTTTTTGTGTTTTATTTCATTCTTGTTATGGTTGGCTTCGACGGGCAGTGAGTCGGCGTCCTTTGGTTTTGTTTTAACATCGCTACTTATAACAGTGGTTACTTTTTCTTTATTTTCAAATACTTGATTGGCCATTAAATCATCTTTATGATTATACAAGTTTTCATTATCTTTATCAACTTTCATTGTTGTAAATTTTGAATTAGGTTTGGTTCGCCAGTTTTCACTCGTATTTGCAATTTTGTCCTTGTTAACTTTGGTCGATTCTCTGTTGACAATCTTGTAAAACCTGTCCTGTTCAGTTTCGTAATTGGTAAAATCTTCCGTTTCAGTAATAAAAGTTGGCTTTGGAGAATAAAAATTTCTCACAGTTGTCTGATTGTTGAAATGTGATTTTGATCTGTCCGTATTACGTGTAGGTGTAGCTTCCACAATCAATGTTGAACCTTCATCTTCATTTGGGGGAAACGTAGCTATCCGTTCAGTGTTATATTTTTTCAAGTTGTTAATGTATATTTTTCTATTAGAAGAATCTGGTTTGTTTTTACCACCAAGCTCATCTGCTACTGAGTGAACGGTGCCGCTATAAGCTCCATTGTCGTGTCGGTTGTTAAAATAAATTTCTTCGCCTCCTTTGTTGTGGATAACTGGCGATTTTACAGGGCTGCTGTTTAACTGGACCCGTTTAATGTTACCAAGGTTAGAAACTCTTTCAATTGTACCCTTTGGCTTATCGGGTTTATTTATTTCCGCAGTTAGTTGAGTGGATTTATGACTTGATTCTGGATCGTAGTTTCTAAAGTCAACATTTAATTCAAGATCATCATCATCATCATCATCTAGCTTGAGTCTTTTATTTGCTTTTGTAGTAGTTTCCACATGTTGCACACGATTCACACTGCCGATGTTCGATGTTGTAGGATTGTTGTTCCAGGTGTACTCGACGACGCTGTGGTTGTTATAGTTCCAAGGTATAGTTGTATTTTCGGTTTCTATCACTTTGTCTGATGTGAAGTGAGTATGTGTTCTGATTGGCTTCCTGTAGTGCTGCTGTGAGATCTCAACCCACTCGGCGGCGACGTGTGCTATAAGGAGCAGTGCAAGGAGGCGCGTCATTGTCGCGTCTGTTCACATGTTTGCTTCAATGTGAAGCGTCGTGTGACGTATCACGTGTCGCGCTTCGTCTGGTGACTTCACCACAGTTATGTCAGGGGCGCTAAACATGTGTTTGCCATTATATTGTTAAGTATTTCTTATTCGCAATGGGACGGCGTTTTGCTACTATCTAGCCTAGTGGTAAGTCAAGTTGCGACTTGCGGTAGAGCACACCAATAAGGAACTTATTCACTCTGGCCTTTAAGACATCGGCGTCGTCTATTGAGGACCCGTCACACCAGAGGAGTTACGAGTGCCATTGCCGGTCTGTTGCGGGGGTAGAGATTTGACCATTCACGAGACAGGCTTAGGTTAAATGAATAACTAAATATGCATCATATAATTACCTAGTTTCTTTAATAAAATCATCATCATCATCATATTAAATTAATTAAACAGGAACTAAAAACAAGACTTCTACCAGACTACCTAACCAGATTTCTCAAATAAGAATATTTTGAAATGTAAAATGTTTGAGAAATTCACAATAAACTAGTCTATTATCTGCTCCATGCTCTCGAGTCTGCGTAGCACCCATTAACCGAGCCGTGAAGTTTGTTTACCTCTTAGGTTAACTGCTTCCATAGTAGAGTGGCTGCAAGTACAACTGCCGAATAAGGTTTCGGATCGACTTACACACGGAATAAATCTTTATGTAGGTACTTAATCTGCGAATTGATGTTTCGGGTTTGGTTGTTTTGTTTTTATCAAGGCGACCGCAATAATATTTTCTTTTGTATATACACAGAGTAGTTCCTTCTAAGCGGTACCGAGAATCGGCACTTTGTTTTAATAACATTTAAATAGTATATTCATAACAAATTAGTAAACTATTGTGAATTATAATTAAATGTAATATGGGTATTACGAGCTAGCTAGCAGGCCTAATGTAGATGTGACCTAAAAAGTAGATTTAGATAATTACTTGTCCTCCAAATGAATCTTTATTTATTATAAATATCATTATTAATATTTAACAGGCTGTTTAATGAGCGCTTTCAAACGACACGCACCGTTTAACTTCCATATTGTCCAATGTTGTCCTTATTTACGATGGGGTTTTCGTTAATTGAAACACTACATTATATTAAAAACGGCATTTATTATTTAAATAATTAATAATAACACAATTTGTAAATCTGTCAAATATTAATTAATCTCTTACTTATGCTAAAACATCAACACGGGGCACGTGGGTTGTGTCTTTATATTCCTAGATACATAGGCCGGGCGACTCGTTTATGAAACTCTCCGTAGCTTCTTCATAAAGTGTGCAAAATTTATTTAAAATTCAAATATACAACATACGTATTGAATCAAGTCATTAGGTATGAGGAAACGACGAATTGTATACATTTTCACATGTAGGTAATGTAATATGGTCGTAGTTATTTATTTAATATCCGGAATCTACATTAGTTCACGTTGGTACTACTGCATTGTTACCAATTACACTACCATTACAATGTTCTCGTAACCACATTGCGTTCTCTAAATATGACTTTTTACTTTACATATCCTATGTAAACATACTCGTGCGAGCACTGACACCGCCCAACAAGCTGTCCCTTAGTATTACACTGGAAGCAACATAATACCACATCGATACAGCTTTTGTAACAATGGTGCTTGATAACTTTCAAAGTTAGAAAAGTCGTCAAAATAAGTTTACTGAAAACAACGGATACTAAAGGTGCTTACTCATTTTATAAACGAGGAATCCTCAAAGGCCATTGTATATTAAGCAATATTTGACACATAATCAGTAATATTTAGCCCCAGATGGTGTACAACTTTTATAATAAAATACCTAGTTTCTGAATAATTCTTGGCTAATTTATAAGTACGGTAATTTAATATTAATAAAGCGTTGAATGAGTTTTGACCTAATCTTTTTCTTTTATTTATTCTAGTAGTTTTTAGTTGGCACGACAGTACGCGGATTCACAAACCGATCTTTTTAAAACTTGCTCCCAAAAAACTTGAATGATATAAATATTATGTTACACTATAATAATATGATTACAACATGTGGTTTGGTCCAAAATTCACAAGTTACAAAATAATATACATCTGAGTAAAATTTATTAAATAAAATATATCTACATTAACGTTATTACTTTTGTGCATTTATTAAAAGGAAGACTTTAAATAATATAAATAATTATTATTTTTCAAGAAATACATATTCATAGTTTTAACTGCATAGGAAAACAGTTCTAAAATTAAAACAGGACTATTTAAAAAGCACATTCCGAGAATCGTAATACTAATACAGTAGCTTTTACAAGAGGCACCTACTCATTAACAGGTGAAAATTGACAATTGAAATGTATAGTTTAGTAAACAAACTTGCGCATCAAGTTATAGCGAATCACACGCACCTTGAAAGGTGGCGCCATCTAGGAAAATGTTTCCGCTACGTCGGTACGCAAGTATGTGGGAGGCGACAGGTCGATGTGGCAACCGTACATCACAATTTGGATCGTAGGCCGTGGTTGATAGCAGGTGGCTTTAATAATCAAAATCATACGACAGTGAAAATACCAGAAATGGTACTATAGCTCAAATCTTGTAGCTTTAGGTACTTTTACATTATGCTAAGCATATGAATAGAAAATTGCTACACCGACTTGTCGTCAACAGAATTCATACAACAACATACAAGAAGATAATTAGATTAACGACAAAGATTAGCACATTACACATAACATCGACAACATATACATCTAGATATATAGTAAAGTTATATTTATAAATAATTTCACAAGCTAGCTGCAATTAACGGAACGCCGCAACGAGATCACAGAAAACAGAAGTTTGTATTGCAAAATATTGTAAAGTTTATAAAAATAAATGTATAAAAATCACAGTTTCAAGTAAAATGCGCGAACGGGAATGAGCCTAGTGGACTATTTATTTGGGAATATTCCATAAATTATGCGACTAATAGAAACAAACTCACTTGTCTAGTCGAATATAATCACTCTGCAAATTTTATTTAAATGTTTAACACTCGGAACTTTCCATACTTTGCACTTTATTCTTGCTACTATAACTTACATTATCCTAATAACAATGGAATATCGCGTAGTCATAGACTCACCCAGTTAGCTCTCTCTTGGAATGACGGCTCAGATTAGAACAGTACAACAATATTGTGACATTTAACACACTTACTGACGACGTATACCTTATCTTAGGTCCCTTCTGTCACATATCCCTAGCACACTCGACGTCACACAAGTAAGACAGATGTCATGGATTTTGTCAGATCCCGGCAAAATTACGTGACAAGTGTCTTGTACAATCAAATGGACATGGCTACACACAGTGAAAGGCGGTTGAGGCAGAAAAGTATGTAAAATATTGTCCAGTTACCCGTTTTTAAGAAACAGGCCATAACCCCAACGCTGTTACGTTAGTTAACAATATTCAAATCTATTTTTAGACAATCTTTCTTCCCTCCCACCAGTACGATTTCTAATATCAAAATGTTTTTTATAATTTATATTTTTTGTCATGTCCAATATAACATGAAAATGTGATGAGAGCTAAACAACATTAAGTATTACTCCGTACAAAATTAGAAGTAAAAGACAAACATTTTTAAATTACATTAACTCCATGTACTTAGATTTGAGTGTACTTGTAACAAAACAGGGAAGACTGTCATTTTGATTTAAAATATTTTCTAAATGATTATTATTGAAATGGTATACAATATATACAAAATATCATATGTAAAAGTTTTAATGTAAAATGTTGGCACTAGTCTAGTTGGTGTGGTTCAGTTTATTAAAATAGAGTAAATAATCCCATAAAATACATAAATATCTGCATACTTAAGTATAACTTTGATCGCATATGACCTAACACACACATCACCAGTCCCATACCCGTTACTTACTAGTACAACATTAATATTATTAAAGATGCAACAACACGTCATCGTTCCCTAACGACTATTCTATATCAGGTTCTATAAACCTCTTAGGCCGTCGATTTGTAGGCTTAGCATACAGGGAGCATGAATGCTAGAGAACAATAACAAACTACCTGAAGTAGAGAGTTCGATAGTTATAACTAATACTTATTTATAGTAACATCTGCCGCACGCTAGCGTAACGAGGACGATATCGACAAACATTATCAAACTGTACTAATATCGTGTCTACATTTGTTAAGTAAATAAATAACATAAATCATTGTACACTGTACAAAACAGCTGCAAAATTATTATTCTAACGTAAGTTTACTTATTACTTAGAAGATAGAGTTCACATTCTTACAGACTAGGAATTTGCTTAAGATAAGAAGTGAGTTAGATAGTATTACTAGTACATTAAGAAGTATTTTAATGTACAAAATTATTAGGAAAACAGGCTGCATGGGACTTGTAAACTTGCTAATTACGGAAGCGCTTCGTTCATTATTATTACCATTGATTGTGACTTGTGGAGTATTACTTGTATCATTATTGCTGAACATTGTCAATGCACAGTAATATAAGTTCTCTAGCTTGTCTATTTGTGACAGTTATACATTTTGAAATGCTCTCTTTATAACACTTAAAAGTAAATAACTCAAAATAATATTCATTATTCACAACATCATATTCAAACGGTAATGTTATTATGATATTTATATTCAAATTAAACTAAGTATAAAAACCGCAAAAATAAATTAAAACAGCTAAAACAAAACAGTGGTTCACTATGAAGGAATGCAGTTATTTGACAACCATCATTAATTGGTACTTCGAAAGACAGCACTAAGTGAGTCGATTTTATCGAAATACCATAACTCTCTCAGTAAAACGTTCATAAAATACAAATCTTGCATTAACAATATAATTGGACCTATTGTCGGCTCTATTTAAACATATCAATAAAATGTTCCTTATAAAACATAAAAATTTGCCGTGTATTTGTGTAAGATATTACAAATGTTGTATTCACGTTATCAATGGGGAGATATAACGTGGAACGTAGTAATATCTTGAACGGAATAGCAGCGTGGGTGGGGCGGGGCGCGGGCCGGGCAGTCAGCGCTCGGCCCAGCGCGCGTCGTCGCTGGGGTGCGTGAGGTAGCGCTGGCCCACGCGGGCCTCGAGCGCGCGCAGGTCGCGCCAGGCGCCGCGCGTCTGCAGCCAGGCGTGCGCCACCGACTTGTCCACCGACAGCCGCTTGCGCTGCTTCACTTGCAGCAAGTTGTTGATCAGGTCGATCGCTGCACACACACACGCCACGTCACTACATGCCTACATCGCCCAATCGTATGCCACGATATTATTAAATTATAACGATAGTCATTACCTTCAGCGGAGATCTCCCTCCACGGCGTAGGCGGGTACATGAAGGCAGCATTCTGTATCTGTTCATTAATGTCTTCGTCCTCGTTGAAGGGGAAGGTGCCCGACAGCGACACGTATATGATCACACCCACCGACCACATGTCCAGCGAGCGATTGTATCCTTTGTTGCGAAGAACTTCAGGAGCTACGATGCCAATTTAGATAACATTTATTTTTGAAGTTTAGTGCTGTCAAAAGTATATTTATGAATTTTAATAGAACTTACCAAGATAAGCCGGCGTACCGACCACGGATCTTCTAAAAGACTTCTCCCCTATGATTCTGGCGAACCCAAAATCGCAGAGTTTCACTTGGGGGAACTCTTCATCTGTGGACAGCAGCACATTCTCCGGCTTGAGGTCGCAGTGCACGATGTTTTTCTCGTGCAAGTGTTTCAGAGCTACCAAAATCTGTGGAGGACGTTATCAGTTAAATATTACTTAAATGTGATTTTCATTGTACTCTTGACAATAAATTACATAACATTTTGAGGTCACGTAGTGCATACCTGTGCCACCAAGAATTTAGTGATTCTTTCCGTGAGCCTTCCGTTCTCATGTGACAGGATCATCTCAAGCATGTCTCCCTTTAACTTCTCCATCACTACAAAGATCCGCTCGGGTGTCTCGAACATACGCTCCAAGTTGACGACACCAGGGTGTGATAGATTCTGTAGGATGGCCACCTCGTTCTTCAACTGAGCTTCTTGTTTCGTAGGAAACCGGAGCTTGTCTATCACCTAGTAAAAATTACGTATGCTTTGATCATTATAGCCAAATTACCATTACTAATTTATTAGGTAACACTGATGTTAGCCAGTACCTTGATGGCGACGGGTCTCTTGGAGCGCCGGTGTAGGCCCCCGTAGACGATACCAAACTGTCCCGAGCCTAGGACTTCGTCCGGGTAGATCTGGTACAGCTGCGCCATGTCGGTGACTCGCTCTTCCGTGCTGCCTTCACCCTCCGCCTCGGCCAACGCGCATCCCCGGGCTTCGGCTATACAAGGGAATGACACTTTTCGGATAGTTAATATTGTTGTCACCATTGTATTGATTTAGTATTTTTAGATGGAAATTTGTTAAAATAATGTTAGAGCATTCAAAAGCAACCCTTTTATGTTTATGGTGAAAAAGGTTATACAGATTGATCGATGTTGATTTGGAATATTTGTATGAGATGTCAAGAGCAAATAGCATCGTTTGAAATGGTGTCGCATGGAGTGTCTAAGGCTCGAGTGTGTCTCACCGGAGTGGTGCGTGACGGGCAGCAGCGCGTGCCTGATGGCAGTCTCCCAGGAGCGCGCGAGGTAGGCGCCGAGCCCCGAGTCGGGCGGCGGCGGCGCCGCGCCGGCCCACGCCTCCTCCACGCCCACCAGGTAGTCCACGTTCGCCGTGCGCACCTCGAAGCAGTGCATCACGTCTGCACACACAAACCACGTTAACCTTTAGTTCTGGTCGAATCCAGGTGAACTCGAGTTGTGATCATCGACGCTGCAACTACTGGTCGTACCTGTCCCGGGATGCGGTTGCCTCGCGGTGTCGATAGCCAAGATCTCGTTGAGTGGGATCTCCTTGTAGTATTTGCTGCCTTGTTCCGATGTGAACAATGTGATCGATTTGCTGTCCAGACGCCAGTAGTGACGCTTCAGCTGCAACACAAGACATTTCCCCAATACCAAATAATATACATTTGTGGAATGTAAACCTTAAGAATGGGCTATAATATACCAACCGTTTTGTCCTTGTTAGTGAAATGCACAAGCCAGCCCTCTTTGAGCCACTGTCCGTCCCTCTTCTTGGTGTGTTTGACGGACTGCACGATGCGCATGAGTGGTATGTTGGCGCTGGGCGAGGAGGACGAGCTGTAACGTGCACACGAGTCAGATCTACAAGGACGGGGGGTTGCGGACAACTCAAGGGGAGTGCGTGCGTGTGGTGGTGGGGGTCCGTATTGTTTGTTATAAATTTTACTACAACATCGGTGTGGGTTTATTCGTATTAAGGTTTACATTTGAAATCTAAATCTCGGAATGTTGCTTCTATATTTTAAGCTGTTTACATTTCAATACTTATGTTTACGTTTCCGTTATAACTTCGAATTTTACTTCTTTTTAATAGACATACGTGCCAAATCATATAAAACGTATATAAGTTTTCATTGGTTGTAATCCAGCTAATTGTCTGACTTGATGTATAAAACTTACAGACAAAAATAATGACTTTGCAATGTGTTCAAATTACCAAAGAAATACAAATGTGTAAGTGTGGTAAGTGGATATCACACAAAGATGCAAAACTAAGCTTTAATGGACACTAACATTTAAAAATTGATACCTTAATAGAAGGATGAGGCTTGCGATCATATTTTAGGAACACTGTGTTTGGTAAAACGGGTTTGTATTTATCGTCTGCGTTGTTGCAATTACTGTTACGGAACTTTTTAAAGCTATCTATAAAATGTTAATCCATATCTAGGTGTGATAGGTATTTATAATTCACATAGGTACATAACTGGGTTTGATAATGCACTTATAATGGAGGAGAACATCAAATATACAAAAATACGACGTTTTTGAGATAAACAATCAGTATATGGGAAATGGTGAATACAAGCGGATGGTATAGTAATTAAAAGCGTGATTCCTTATGAATATATCTAAGCCAAGCTATAAAGACATGAGAAGACGTCACATATATATACAAGTAATAGGACACATGAAGCAGTCCTATACAAAAATAAACCGTGTAAACCGACACCAGACATAAGACAGAACAGGACACGAGACCACCACCACACGGCGCGGGACGAGCGGCGCTCACCTGCTGGGGCGGCTGGCGGACCGGTCCGGCAGACTGTCGCGCTGCGGCTCGTCGGGCCGGCGCCGGAGCTCCACCTGGTACGGGGAATTCCTTCAACATTACATGTACGTCTAGAACACTGAAAACCAACGAATTGTACGGTTAAAATTATCAATAGTGTAAGACATGAGCGTGCAGTATGTTACCTCCCCGTCATCCCCGGCCGCGCTCTCGGCGGCCTCGTTCCCGCCGTCATCCGACTCCTCGTCGGGCAGCCGCGCCGACTCCGACAGCTCGCTGCCCGTGCTGCTGTCCTGGTACTCGCCTGGACAATACTTGCTACGTTATTGCTTGCCTCCCATACATATTGAGTATAACACAAATCAAACATTGCACAGTATCGCCTTTACCACTTTAATTTTTAGAATAGTTATTGAATGCAATCAGGTGCAAGACCAGGCGCGGATCCACGGGGTAGAGGGAGGGTACAATGGGAGGTTACCAGTTTTTCTGCACACCACGTGACGCCAATATGGCGTGAAGTATTGTTTGTTCAAAGGTAGTACATAGAAGAAAATCAATGGCCAATGGTTTGACACTAGTTCATTATCATTTGGACCACCAGACATGAGGGCCATATTCGCGCCCTATAGTGAACTGAAACTTTAGCCACAGGTGCCTCTCTCTTCCCTTATTTACAATCAATTTGTCAAATTTCAGGAATGGTTATAATGATATCAATCGCATGCCGTTAATTCTAGCTTATATTACTTACTCACTTATTTTTGCATTTATAAACTAGGTCTCGCACTAGGAATTTCTCCTGTTTCGGGCCATAGGCGTTTTTACAAACACAAACTTCACATACACATAAAATCCAGCCAGATCAATAACAGCAATTTGTAAATTACACAAATAATTTCTGTTGTTGCCACACATTTCAAGAACTGTTTAGAAGATTAAGCAGTGGAATAAGCTAAATTTGCCCAAACCCTCGTATATCAAATCGTGGATACGTGCCTGTGTTGAAGATATGTAGATTAGTCTGACGTGACTCACTGTGCTGGTCGCGAATCTCGCCGCCGCAGTCCTTGGGTATGAAAGGGATGCACTTGCGGTGCGCGTTGTAGTGGCAGTCCTTGCACTGCAGGCCCTGCTTGAACAGGCCGCGGAGCAGCTTCTTGCAGTGGCGGCACACGGTGGGCCGCGTGTACGAGTGCACCTCGAACGTGTGCGGGATGGCCGCGCCCCCGCCCCCGCCCCCGCTCCAGCCCCCGACGGAGCCCGCGCGCGACGGCGACCGCGAAGTTTTGCCCAACTGTTCGAGTGCCCAATGCCAAGTTAATGCACATTGTTTAATAAATTAAACACGTATTGACTTTAATGATATACTCGTAAATCGAAGTAGGTATGTCATACTTATCGTTTATTTTGTTTTCAACATTTGAACTAACTGAGAAAAGATCTACCAGTTTCAAATCAATAAAATTAGTGCCTCACGATAATAATAAGTGGTTCAAAAATATTCCTAAAACTATAATAGAGCTGTGCAGTATCTATTATGCTGCATAATAGATACTATGCATGATGCTATCACGCGGAGTATGATTTTTTTGTAAGTAACTTTATAACAAACAGCATTGTCTTCTTTTCTGTGGGTTTCTTCACAGGGACGTCAGATTTATTTCTATTCTAAGACACCAAATTATTTTTTATAGGCTTTAAGATTTAAGTTATATAAAGACAAAGATTTAAAAATTGTACAATAAAAAGAACCATTATACTTATTACTTCTCTAATGTTTTGCAAGTTTAATTCGGTTGTAATAATTAGACATCGTCGTCATCATCATCTACCTATTACATCTTATAAAAAAAATACGGCTTTACTGATTTTTACAAAATTATATCAGTCTGAGAATCGGTTACTGGCCACTTTTCAAACACCTAAGTGACTTATCACTTTAAAAAAAGCTAAGATAAACCCTTAGGTATCTTAGCACTGTATTTCGAAATAATTTTATGGCTGAACAACGTTTGACCAGCAGTCAGCTGGTACTAAAATATTATTCGATTCGATCCCCAATGAATAAAATTGATCCCAGAGAAAAGAGATTAATTCTACAGTAATTAATAAAGAACATTGCAATATCTGTGATATAATAGTACCTATTATTAGGATCTTATGAGGTTTTCATCAGTTGAAAAGCAATATCGTTAATTAATGTAAAGTCGCTATAACACTGCGGGGTCGTCTTAAACTAGCTACACTCGCGCGGATTCACTTGCTGCTCGGCTCCATTTAAACGTAGCCTATAGCACACAGGAACATTGTAGCTATCTATCAGTGAAAGAATTATGGAAATCCGACCAGCGGTTCCAAAGATTACCCCCTACATACAAACTTTACCTCTTTATAATATTAGTATAGATAACATTAGCCTTCCTTACCCGATGAACAGCATAATCAATGAGCTATTTAATGGAAGTAACAATACAATATGAAAAGCGTAGAACATTTTACAACTATACATTACAAGTGTAACGCGACGCGACTCGAATTTTTTAAACAGCCAATTATACAATTAGTTATACATGTATAAGTACTTCGGTGGTTTAAGTACACGCGCCCAAAACATAACCTCTAATAAAATTTCTTTACGAAGCTAATCATTTGTATTTGTTTGAAACAATTCTTTTGTATTTCAGATTGGATGATGGGTAACATGGGAATTAAAAATAAAACGAAATAAATTTAAATAAAACATTTATTTTAAAACAAAAATATATTTCCACAAATGCTACCCACCACCCGAGTCGTGTTAGTTTTATAAGATTACGTAAAAGTAAGTTAACTATACTTTTGTAGTACCTACAATACTTCTAATCTTGAACGAATTATTAGTCCATGTTTCTATTTTAGTAACAATACTAAATGGTATTGGCACGTACATTTTTATTACTAAATATGTAAGTACGTTTTTGTCTTTATAACTGTTTCATTTTACCTTGTGTAGTTACTGAAAACTTATATCTTACTTTATTGAGACAATAGTCAATATAAAGTCCATAAAGAATATATCGAAATATATTTGATAAAAAGTCACCTCAATTGTATTTTTGTTCTAACTTCAAACAATAAAATATTTAGGGCTGATTTTTCAATGGTCAGATAAAAGTTATCTGGGAAATAATTATGATGCTGTCGCGTCAGAATGTTTGTATAAGACAGTGACAACAACAATTCCTCAGATAACATTTAACTGACTATTGAAAAATCAGTCCTTTTGTAGATACTTATTTATGGAATGTCAAATATCTTAAATCTATTAAAATATGCAAGCAATTGTAGTAAAATATTTGAGATTTGTAAGCATTGTTAAAAATTACTTAAAAATAGTAACTAACTAAGTTTTAATGTATATATTAATTGTTTTGTGTGCGAATGTAAGAATATAAATCTAAAAGTGCAGACCTACAACATATTTTATGACTATATTGTTACATCATGTAAATTTAAGCATTATAATAATCTTATTCTTTATTTTTGTGGATTTTCTGCCAGCTTATTCTAGAATAAAGATCTATTTAGAGATTTTTAAAGACGCTTGAGATTCTCTTACCACTAAAGTTTTTTAAAAAACGATCTTAGTTTAAACAAAGTCTTCGTGCCAGAAAGTGAACACTGTGCAAACTAATGATGCGATAATAAAGGAAACAGAAAAAATCATTGAAAAGTGCGATATGAGCTCGTTCCTCTCATGATGTTCAGGAAGAAACTCCAAGGAGAAGCAGTTGTTTGCTGCCAAAATTGTACTTATCGTCGATTTCGTTGTAGCTTGGGGAGTAGCGAGCGATTCATTATTACTGATATACGGCATGAGAAAGGAAGCCGTAAGGCACGGCTCGGAAAATTATTGATTATTGAAGCAATCCTCCTGTCGAACTGTATTATAGAAAACTACAGAGATTTCAATTTTCTGACTGTGCTAAGAGTCTTTGTCGGTGACGAGCCTGGCCAGGCGCCTTACCAAGGAGTCGTCGTGCGAGGCGTGGCTGTGCGTGGAGCCGCGCGAGGGGCTGCGGCCGCCCGACACGCGGCGCGCGCCCGCGCTGCTCACGCTGCCCGCGCCCGGCGTCACCGGGCACGTGCAGTTAGACGGCACCTTCACAGCGCAACGCTTGTGGTAATTTAAACCGCAGCCTGCGAACAAAATATTATAACGGTTAAAAGTCATATAAAAATGCTCAGATGCCTTGATATTTGCAGTACCTTCCAGAGCATACGATTGCTCGCATAAACTTACCTTCACATTTAAGTCCCTGTCTCACTAAACCGAAGAGCATTTCGCCGCAGAAATCGCAGAAAGTAGGTGCCTTGTAAGAATGTACGGAGAGTGCGTGAGGACGCGGCGCAGGCGCAACTTCTGCGCCGCCATCGCACAGCAACGCTGTAAAAAGAAAAAAATGTCTTACTGTTCTTTGGACGCAAAAGGACAAGTTGGAAAAATAGGTTGGTAATCAAATTAAGCCGAGAAAATGTTCGTCTTTACTGACATCCATACTCACGGTTGGCAGTGAGCACGATCTCGACGAGGGTCTCGTCAGTGACGTCAGACGCGGAGTTAATGAGCTGCAGTACGTTGGGCGAGCAGTAGTCGTGCCGGAATAGAAGGATCCTGTCCGACAGCCGGTTCAGGCCGTTGTCTGGTATCTGTTAGGACATGTTCTGATGTAGTAAGCTCGGGTGACGATACATTTACACAAATAAAGCTACTACTGCTACTAGGGTATCTATAAATAAGGACACTTTTATTAATTAAGTTAATTGTGGTTTTATTATTTTTGTAGCTTGGCCGCAATTTAGTATTTCATAGATACGTAGCGCTTTTGACATTTCAAAAGAGTATTGAATTTGACTAGTTGTCTAATGTCGTGAATATTATAGTGTTTTGACTTGAGAATGAGGTATCTCGATTGCGTACTATTGCCTTGTTAGTTTAGGGTACAATATTATCAAATTTTATAAGCTAGAATCCGAATGTATGAACCACCATAAATACTAAATAAACCTTATCGTGAACGAATTTGACGGCGAGATCCTTGAGGTGGGCGAGCGTGAGTAGGTGCGCCGGCGCCGCCACCGCGTCCCGCACCACGCCCAGCTGGAACAGGAACGTCACATCGTCCTCCATGACGCACCGCAACGCTGCAATAAAAGACCACCATGTTACATCTCATGCATAAAAAATCTGTGCAACTTGTAGACAGTAGCGACTAACGTTTCGGACGTATCGTGGAAGCGCGACTAGATCGCTAGCTTTAACTTTCCGTAAACGTGTTTCAACAATCTAGATATTTATTAGCACGGGGAAATACCTGCAGAGGTCACTTCGCGGGTATAATGTATAGATCCACACATATCACCTGTTGTAGCGCAAACAATGATTACGCGAAACATTTACAAACATTTCATTTTCTCCGAGTTATCGTAGTTTATCACCAACGAAAATAATTTTCGGTACCTAATTATAATATTTTGGATGAACCGGACGTTTGGCAGGCGCACTGACATTGTGCGGAGAAAATGTGACATTGTTGCATTTCGTTTTGACCTCTGCAATACAGATGTGATAAACAAATACCTATTTAGCTTTACGTACCTATGTACAAGTATAAGAAGTTAAGCGGTATCTATGTCTTAAGTGGTTTTGTTGTACATATCCCGAGTTCTAATCACTGTCTCCATTCAAAGGTTGTTTGTGAGAAATCGCATATAGCGATAAGACCGCCCATTTTACATTTATATCCTTAAGCTTTCCTGTCTATTTTTGTAAAGGAAAAGTTAAAAGTTACAATTCAATTATGTTTCATTGTAAACTACTTCTGTAACTCAAATTTTATCAGAAATGTTAGTGTAACCGCTTATTAGATCCTATACATATTTAAAGTTAGATTAATAAAGGTAGTTAATATATTATCCTATTCATTAGCTATTAGTCGCAAAATAAAATTAGGTAAGCTCGTGGCGTGGCGCCGCCAGTATCGGTTTATGATCAGGGTCCAATCGTGCGCGGTTGCCCGGTCATTGGATTATCGCAATTCAATAATACGCGCTAATATTTCCATTAGATTGTGATTAAAGCGTTAATATTTTTTATTTCGGAGAAAGTAGATAGGGTTAGCATACTTATAACATTTAACGTAAATATTGTAGTCCAGTTTTAGTAACCTAACCACTTATTTTGGGATATTTTGGGATAGCTACAATACAGCCGCCGAATCTTACATCAATAACCCTAAGGGAGCTACCATAAGAATATGGTGCCCCACACTCAAACAAATACACACATTCATCAACAAAACCGGACACACCTTCGCCCTCACTCAACTTCTCACCAACCATGGCTATCATAAATCATACCTTATATACATATACCTATACCGCTTCCATATCACCAACGATGGCAGATGCCCCTGTGACGGCACCTCAATACAGACATTCCTACACCTCTTAACACACTGTCCACGATACATAAACACCCGCTTTACACACGAACAACTATGTCATCATCACCAAATCGACCCATACAATCTTGAACAAATCGCTTCCGAAGAACACACCACAACATGACACACCTCACATACGTCGTAAAAAACATCAAAAAATTCAATAACACTTAAACAACACTCATACATACTAGCACGTACACATTACACACATCAACTCACATTAACCCACTCAAACACAATCATTCTTATTTTCTTCGTAAACGACCACCTTTTTCAGTCTCATAATTTTGCCCCAATTCATCTCATATACAAATCTGTATCCAGTAGCAGATAAGATTTGCGCATTGCGTCGCAATAAACTCCCTCTTGGGGCGGGTTTAACCCCAAGCAGTGAAATAAAAAAAAAAACAATATTTTGGAAAGACATAATTAGTCGCAAGTAGTCCTTGTTGGAGTTGGAGATAAAAAAAACCTATAAAGACGACGGGTCTTGATCCCGTATAAAATTACTTGTTGTATCCTATTCGACGATATATTACAAGTATAAATCACCACTAGTTAACTTTTACAATTTAAACTGACTCATAGCCAATCCTTAGTTTTAGGGGTTTTTACCCTTTGGGTACGAAACCTTATGACTGAAACATCGAAGGTATTAATTGTGCAGTTCTTGCAAGTGTCACCACCTCGTCTGTCTGCTGTTAGATTAGCACTGTAATACGAAACACTGGCTTCCGATTTATTCGGCTTCGTCTGGTTTGCGGCGGAATTTGATATAGTTTATAACTATTGTGACTACACACATATCCATATTTTCTCTGATATACTACTATTTTGGGTAAAATGAAAATGCATCTTGCGTTTAAAGACACCGTATTTTTTAGATATAACTAGCTTTTGCAGGCTTCACCGCGTTATCCGGATGTAAAGTAGTCTGTGTTATTCAAGACTAATATAACCTATCATTGTCTCTGATTCAATTTTCATCAAAACCCATTTAGTACTTCTTACGTCAGAGTAACAAAGAAACATTCATCCATGCATATGTACTAACAAACTTTTGCGTAGATAATATTATTAGGATGATTAGACATCATGCGACAAATTCTGTTGACCGTGCTCCATTCGCCTGAAAGACGTTCACTCACAGGGACATTGCACGTCACGACTTTCATAGCTTACACGTGGCAGTTTTTAGCCCTGAACTTGAGTCAAACAGAGGACCTGGTGATAAGGAGTTACCAACGACAACGCGTAAACAAATCGTACGAGTTGGTTAATAGACTTGTAGTAGGTATATAGTAAAGAAGGCCATAACAATGATAACCTGAACCTAGGTAGCGATTAATGTTGGGGTTTTTCAAAACAGGAGAATCATTTTAGTTCGATAAATAATGTCTTTGAGTTACAATGCTGGCATATTTTTTGATGAAAGATATTTTTCAAGCAGAAAGTGAATGTCGTATTTTGTTTACCACGTTGGAAAAAGAAAAGCCGGACAGTGACAGATTCTGTCTTACGGCCGAAATTAATAATTAATTGGTTTAGACAGAACCTGCAAATAAAATATCGTCAGCTAAAGTCATAAAATGATGACAGTTTTCGGATCGAGATTGGTTACTTGTTAGTTTTACCCGTAAGAGAAAGCATGCACATATTGCGTAGGTATAGGTACGTAGATAGGTACCCTATTCCTTGCAATGTTAAATTACTATCGTTTTGTTTTTGGTACATTTAGTGGTCGCGAGCGTGAAACTCTTTAGTTCTATTCTTTAAGAAATTTACATTACTTATTGAAAATATTTTGACTAGACGCGGTGGTTGGGGATACCAGCTGACGTGCAAGGTGCTGCGGGTTCGATTCCCACTAGGAATAACTCTTTGTGTGGTCCACAAATTTCTATTCCGAGTCAAGGTCTGATGTGTATGTAAAATTTTGGAGAAAATCGTAGACTACAAAAAAATACTACTACTACTACTATCCACTTAATTTATTAGGTTAATCATATAGAAAAAGTTAGTGATTTGACGAAATGTCCTTTGAAAAAATTAAGGGTTAGATACTGTAAATAATTTGCGTCATTTTTAAATTACTATCTTTCAGACACTAAGAAATTTTTGGATTTATCATATAGCCATAGTAAACATTACTAGCTCAGTTTAAGGACAGCGTGCTTCTTGTTAATTAAAATGATTAGCTCAGCGGGTAATTGTTATATAATAATTACAATATTTAGTACGCTTTGCGTCACGTCACGGATGATGCAGGGCTGCACAAACACGGGTTCGATCCCTGCACATGTGTCTGCGTCAGAACTAGACACGATCTATTGTTTGTTGAGTGAGCAAAAGTTCTAAGATGTACTGGTGTGACAGTGACCGGAGCGTAACATTGTAAAATGTAACTAGTAATATGGACGCATAACATTAAAAGTAGCGGTGTCCACGACTTAAGCTAAATTTCTTTTGGCATCCATTGGTATTAGAAATGTTTATTATTTATTAGAATTATTTTTTTAAAATTAATTCTACATATTGCTTAATTGTCAATTTATTTAGCTTAACCTTTCAATTGTGGTAATTCGGGACACAATAGCAGAATAATAGGTGCGAAAACACCGGCGTTCGCTTGGGGCTTGATGAATTAAATAGAGTATGTAGGAAATTAGGTAGTTTTTTTAAAGGACTTGAAGGAGAGAAATATTAGGAAAATTGGAACTAAATCTGCCTTTATTACTTATCGAAAATGTGATGGACGGGAGGTGGTTAGTAAGTATTTGTAATTATCAAATTTATGTCGATGTTTACAGTAAGAAAGGGAGAAGTTGCGGCGGACTGCGTCGCGTGTCATCGCAAGGCTTTGATGTGAGTCGACCCATGATAAACCTTATGTTATTATATTGCATTACGTAAAGCGGTGCACACTTACTTAACATAGCACATATGCCGCCTCAACGAAAGCGGCACGTGGCGCGGATCGTGGCTTTAGACTAAAGTCTATTTCATCAGATCTACCGAATTTTTGCCGAAGTACGATACATTTACTTATTCTAGGTTCCGCGTAAGGTTTAAGCGATTCCAACTGGGCCAGCGTGGTGTAGATAGGTGCTACCTCTGGTCAGACTAAGGCTACGAACTGCTATTTCACCATTTGTCCTTAGGCTTGTATGCCCCTTTTAGTGTAAAAAAGTAAAAAAGTAATGAGTTTTTGAAATTATTGTTTTCCTAAAAAAAAAAAAAATTGAATTTACTACATTATCTTGACTAATACAAATTGCCGTACTTATTATGGCAATATTATAAGCATTATATATTTCAATACAAACAATTGATTGATAAAGTGTTTTGTTTTGCTTGTCCTCTCTCTCAATTATATTTAGCACTATGCGCGCTTGCCGGCTGATAGCTGCGCGGGCGCCGACGTAGTAGCCGGGAAACACACTGACCCAGACCAGCGGGTTCATATTGTTCATAAATAACAATTACATATGTTAACAAAATATCATGATTTTTATTCTCCAAAAGGCAGTGGTGTATACTGGTCTATGTACTTTCTCCAGCTGGGGATGTAGGTGCAACCACAATAATTTACCGCAGCCTTGGGCTGGAGCAGGAAAAGGAAAGGGATGGTTTTAGTATGTAACAGTCTGAAAAAAATGCTCTTTCTAGTTTAGATAAATACGAGTATTATATAATAGGGAGCGAGATTAATCCCACGAACCAAACAACTTCAAAATAGAGAGTTAAGGAATTGTAGGTAAACGCAAAATAGTAGGTATAATTCTCTGTGTTGGATCTGAACCT